AGAAAGTTCCAAACACTCTTTGCGTTTCTACTGGAAAACTTTTCTACCAAACATGCATTTACCCAGATGAATAGAAAATTGGTTAAGTTACCCTGTTGATGAAAAAGCTTTGAACTTATGGACCGATCATTCCCCTTGATATCATACCCAAAGGTTATTGAAATGTTTTGATGACGATCTTTACCAGCATGTCAGAACTCGGATTCCTCGGTGTCAGTTTGCTTTCCAGAAACGACTCTCTCTTATTTTCGATTTTTATGCTTTCTTGACATTTATAAAGGAGTACAAAATCCAAACATTCTTGTCAAAGCTGTCTATTGAAATTTTGCAAAGGCTTTTGACAAACTGGAACACAGTATACTGATTGACAAACTCAAAAAAAATGGTTTCGGTGGCCACCCACCCAAAATCCTCAGTTATATTATGAAAAGAGAACAGTTTGTTCAAATCGTTTCGTTCATGTCGACATTTATCTCATTTACAAGTGGTGTTCCGCAAGGTTCAATATTTGGTCCGCTCTTCTTCCTGATTCATGTACTGGACATACCTCATGGTTTGAAATCCGTTCCGTATATGTTCGGTGATGACACAATTTACTGAATTTTAGACAAGATCAACCTTCATCATCCTTTCTTCAATCAGATCTTGTAGTTCTCGAGAAATTGTTTATTGACAACAAAATTTTCTTAAGTATCGATAAATGTCACTATGTATCAATTCACAGAAATGCAGAAAACCGTGAGTTCAAACTAGCCGACACAGAATCATTAATGGTCACATCAGAAAAAAATCTTGGTAATTTGATACTTGGAAACCTGAAAAAATTGATTTAGTGTTTAGAAAAGCGAACAAGGTAATATCTAAGATAAAAACCAACTCAGCGAAAAGGCTTTGCTGGCATGAAAAACTAAACATCTACACGTCTATAGTTATGCCGATTAAAACATATGGGAGCAACGTCTGGTATCCAAGCAGAACTGATCAAAGAATACTGGAGCAGATATAACGCAGAGCCACCGATTAGATTTTGAATTTTACCTATATCTATGCACCTACAAATTTTTGACGTTTTAACACTCAGTAAAGTTTGAGATGAAAAACAGGATGTTTTTTCGAAAGCTTACTTTACACTACCATCCATCATTGTACCCAACCAGAATGTCGATTCGCAGATTTTTTGATTTGCCGAATGGCCTTTTAAACGTTTATGTTAGAATTTTTGGCTGAGAACTACTCGACTGTGCATCAATATTCACAGCCATGTTAAGGTTGGATGTCATTGGCTTGAAACGACAATTTTAACGCTTTTTTGGAAATTTTTTGATAGATTTTACGACGTCGAGAGACTATGTACTTGGACTTAAGTTTGTACTTGTCACGCCTGCCGGAAAACTCACTCTATTTGAGTATATTTCATGGGATCACTCCCTGCGGTTAACCACGAAGTTGTAATAATACTAACAATAATAAATTAGGGGGATGTGAAGGGATTTGTGAACGCAGGGGGAAATCGTGTGAAAAGTAAGAGGGAGGCTTATGTGAGTAAGAGGGAGCGTAGGGTGAAGTTGTGAAGGAATAGGAGAGGGTTAGGCTTAAACGTGCCTTTTATATAAAAAATGGTTAGGTTCAGATTTCAAAGAGGCCGTGAGTATAGGCGCGGTCCGACTTCAATTGACCAGTATAGCATCTGTTAAACGAACGGTTTAAATTGGATCTTTGCCCTACTTTTTGAAAAATATCAGATGTAGTAAAGCTGGTTTTAGGATGTTTGACATATCGTATGTTTGCGCGGTACCCCCATTTTTGTAGTCGCTCAATAGATCACATTTTAACATTTGGAAATTTTACCACAGGTAAGAAAAACTCACTTTCTCAGACTTGAATGCATTGGATAACTCGTTGGCCAATGAATTTTTTCCATGAAGATAACTGAGATCGTTACTTAGAATTTAGATCAATTGAGCCCCAAACCCCCCACGTGGAAATGCGTTGAGCGGATTGTCCAATTGGTCCCTTTAGTTCATGGTTAGTTTGAAAAACGGATCAAAGGCAAACCAAAAAGGGATTTTGAGACCATATTCATCCCTAGTTCTCATATAAAACAAGGAAACGTGTTTGAAAAATTTTCCTAAGTAGTACCTTAATTTAAGCAAGCTTCAAATATTTATCAGTTAATTTAAAATGCCACATTTTTTCCCATTTGCCGACGCTTGCATTATTTTTAATCAAAACAAAGTCAAGCTGACTTTTGTTTCAAATTCTTGCAATCTGTAAATGTTGTCTGACCGTTCCAACACTCTTTGCGTTTCTACTGTAAAACTTTTCGAACAAACAAATCATACTTGCATTTACCCAGATGAATGAAAAAATTGGTTAAATTACCCTGTTGATGAAAAAACTTTGAACTTATGGACCGATGATTCTCCTTAATATCAAATCCAAAGGTTATTAAAAATGTATTAATTGCGATCTTTACCAGCATGTCAGAACTCGGATTCCTCGGTGTCAGTTTGCTTTCCAGAAACGACTCTCTCTTATTTTCCATTTTTATGCTTTCTTGACATTTATAAAGGAGTGCAAAATCCAAACATTCTTGTCGAAGCTGTCTATTGAAATTTTGCAAAGACTTTTGACAAACTGGACCGCAGTATACTGATTGGCAAACTCAAAAAAGTGGTATCGGTGTTCGCCCACTCAAAATCCTCAGTTATTCTATGAATAGAGATTAGTTTGTACAAATCAGCTCGTTCAAGTCGACACTTTTCTCATTTACAAGTGGTGTTCTGCAAAGTTCAATACTTGGTCCACTCTGTTCCTGATTCATGTACTGAACATACCTGATGGTTTGAAATCCGTTCCGTATATGTTCGCTGATGACACAATTAACTGAACTTTAGACAAGATAAATCTTCATCATCCTTTCTTCAATGAGATCTTGTAGTTCTCGAGAAATTGTTTATTGACAACAGAGTTTTCTTCAGTATCGATAAATGTCACTATATATCATTTCACAGAAGTGCAGAAAACCATGAGTTCAAACTAGCCGACACAGAATGATTAATGGTCACATCAGAAAAAGATCTTGGTAATTTGATATTTGGAAACCTGAAAACATTGATTTAATGTTTAGAAAAGCGAACAAGGTAATATCTAAGTTAAAAACAAATTTAGCAAAAAACCTTCGGCGGCAAGAAAAACTAAGCCTCTACAAGTCTATGGTTATGCCGATTAAAACATATGGGAGCAACGTCTGGTATCCAAACAGAACCGATCGACGAACACTGGAGCAGATATAACGCAGAGCCACCGATTGGATTTTGAATATTACCTTTATCTATGCACCTACAGATTTTTGACGTTTAACACTCAGTAATGTTTTAGATGGAAAACACGATGTTTTTTCGAAAGCTTACCTTTCACTACCATCCGTCATTGTACCCAACCAGAGTCTCGATTCGCAGACTATTCGATTTGCCGAATGGCATTTTAAACGTTTTATGTGGGAATTTTTGGCTGATTCACAGCCATGTTAAAGTTGGATGTCACTGGCTTGAAACGACGACTTTTACGCTTTTTTGGAACTTTTTTGATAGATTTTACGACGTTGAGAGACCATGTAATTGGACTTATGATTGTACTTGTCACGCTTGTCGGAAAATATACTCTATTTGAGTATATTTCATGTACGCGAAGTTGTAATAATACTAACAAAAATAAGTTGGGGGATGTCAAGGGATTTGTGAACGCGCGGGGGAATCGTGTGAAAAGTAAGGGGGCGGCTGATGTGAGTAAGGGGGAGGTAGGGTGAACTTGTGAAGGAATAGGAGAGGGCTAGGCTTAAACGTGCCTTTTATATAAAAAATGGTTAGGTTCAGATTTCAAAGAGACCGTGAGTATAGGCGCGATCCGACTTCAATTGACCAGTATAGCATCTGTTAAACGAACGGTACAAATTGGATCTTTGCCCTACTTTTTGAAAAATATCGGATGTAGTAAAGCTGGTTTTCGGATGTTTGACATATCGTATGTTTGCGCGGTACCCCCATTTTTGTAGTCGCTCAATAGATCACATCTTAACATTTGGAAATTTTACCACAGGTGAGAAAAACTCGCTTTCTCAGACTCCAATGCATTGGATAACTCGTTGACCAATAAATTTTATTTTCCAGGAAGATATCTGAGATCGTTACTTAGAGTAATTGAGCCCCCCAACCCCCCACGTGGAAATGGGTTGGGGGGATTTTTCAATTAGTCCGATTACTTCATGGTTAGTTTGAAAAACTGATCAAAGGCAAACCAAAAAGGGATTTTGAGACCATATTCATCACTAGTGCTCATATAAAATAAGGAAAAGTTTTTGAAAAAACTTCCCACGTTGTACCCTAATATCAGCAAGCTTCAAATAAATATCGGTTATTTTAAAATACCAAACTTTTTTTCCATTCACCGATGCTTGCATTATTTTTATTCAGAACAAAGTCAGGCTGACTTTTGTTTCAAATTCTTGCAATCTGTAATGTTGTCTGACCTTTCCTGCTCGTGGTGTTTATTTATTGGTGCTAGCAAGCTCCTTTTCAAAACATCGTTCCTTATTCAACTAAAAGGCTGAATCGGAGTGCAGCCAGTATTTAGACAACCGCGTATTCATACTCGTCAGTATTTAGACAAATACTGTATCAACCAATCAGAATCGAGGAAAGACATAAATATTCCAAAATAAATAATAAGTATTATTTAATTTCTTCTTTGTCTCGATTCTGATTGGTTGAAACAGTATTTGTCTGAAAACTGACCAGTCTGAATACGCGGTTGTCTAAATACTGCTATGTAACCGGCTGAATCAACTGCCTGGTCGTATTTATTCTAATCATGATAGGTTTTAATCATAATTACTTTTCTTTTCGACTGTTTTTTTTTAATCAAAATGAACCGTGCGGGTCCTTTTGTAATCAATGAGTTTATTGCTCTTACGAATATATAGCATATGTTTTTGCCTTCAGGGATGCGGATCCTCCAGTCGAAAACAGCAGCCAGAAAACACACAACTTGAAATCCAGCTGACAGGAACTTTCTGGAAGGAAATCACAGAGACCCTCAAAGTAGTCCCAAGCTTTCCTTCAGAACTGGAACAGTTTAATCCATTCACAAAATGCACTCAAGGACATTCGAAATTGATTTATAACTTTCTCTTAAGTGGCCAGAAAGGGCTTCTGATTCGAGGCCAAAAAGCTTCCCCTGCTACAGCGAATGCTCCGGAAAAATTTAGTCATGGATGTGTGTTTCTCCCAGCCCCTGCTTTTGACAAGGTCATTCTATTTAAAAGGATTTCTGATATACACAGATTCGATGAGGCAAAAAGAAAGCAGTTTTGTCCTCTAAAAACCAAAGGGATCATTGACGCGCTTATCGATCAAGCTGGGGACCTAAAACAACTTATGGGACCAGAACACAAGGTCAGTGATATCGATGCAACATACCGTTTCCCCCTTTCTTCCATTTATTTCAGCAAAACACCATTCCATAAAAGTTTCACATAAAGCAGATCTAGGATTATCTGATTAGAATTTTCGAAACCTATTGCACTCTTCAGCCAATTGAAACAATAGGTCAACGTTATGTGGAACAAAATATTAGGTCAACCATACACAAAACATAATCGGAC